ATTGAGGATGTTCCCAAGCTTGAGCCTTCAACGTCGACGTATCGACCCCCGACACCTCCTGCAGGGATTCCGTTATCAAAAATTATATCAAACAATAATTTTCCTCTTTCTTTTAGCGACGCCTACGCGCAGTGGAAGGTTCGCCATGATACCAAACAGGCGGAATTTGATGTCCTCTCAGCTCTGCCTTTCTTTCCACAACCTGATGCGACTAGATCAGCCAGGTCTTTATCAGTTGATGTTGGCAACGGCAACTGGGTGAATGAGTTTGAGGTCACGCAGCTCAACACGGAAACGAAGAATGACTTAGTCGTATTACATGGCTATGGAGCTGGCCTTGCTTTTTTTTACAGAAACTTTGATGCTCTTTCGGCGCGTCCTGGTTGGAAGCTGCATGCTCTGGATCTACTTGGCTACGGCTGCTCGGCCCGCCCGCCTTTTAAGATCCAGGCTAAGGACCCTTACGAACGTGTTCATGAAACTGAAGATTTTTTTATTGATGCAATAGAGTCTTGGAGAAAAGCCAAAGGCATTGAACGATTCACATTTGTGGCACACTCAATGGGTGCATATTTTGCATCTGCATATTCTATGAAGTATCCCGGTCATATTAAAAAACTGGTACTTGTGTCGCCCGCTGGCGTTCCTCGGTCGTCGCTTTCAATTTCTTCAATTGCCCGTCGTAAACTTGATCCCAAGCCGGAGTCAGCGATTCCTGGTGAAAAGCTTATCAAAGTTCCTGCATGGTTCAACTTTCTCTGGGAATGCCATGTGTCACCATTTTCACTTGTTAGAAACACCGGTCCACTTGGTCCTAAATTTGTGTCTGGTTGGACACATAGAAGATTTGCCAATCTACCTTTGGTAGAAGCAAAGGCTCTACATCGATATGTGTATGGAATTTTCAATGCTAAAGGTTCCGGCGAATACGCACTAAATTATTTACTGGCGCCTGGTGCTTACGCTCGCTGGCCATTGGCAGAGCGTGCGGCAAATATAACCTGCAAAACTGTGTGGGTATATGGTGAGCACGATTGGATGGACCGCAAGGGAGGTCATGAGGCCTGCGATACCATTGCCAAGGCTTGTGGTGGCGAGCGTCCGCCATTAAAAATTGTGTCTAATGCTGGCCACCACATCTACCTTGACAACCCGCAAGAGTTCAATGAGTTAGTACTTGAAGTGATGCGGGAGGTGGAGAATAAAGACTAATATCATTATAATTGGCCTATTTTGCCTACATAGTTAGAGAATAGTGTTGTAATAGACTATAGATTTACAGTTTACGTTGTTATGAATACAAGAGTGTTTAGATACATTTTAGCCAGTCATAGACAACCCGTTTTCATCCAATACTACAATCGTTAAAATTAAAACAAATTATGTTTTTGTTTTTGTTTTGACACAAAACACGTAAACAAAGAAAACGTTTTTCCGTATTGGGTATGTTTTGAAATTGTTTGAACTTGAGAAGAAAACATGCCGCGTTTTGGGAGATTGAAAAAAAAAAATAAACGCGTGTTTCCCTCATTACGCGCAAAAACAAAAGCATTAAAAGAAGATATTTAAAAACATTAACAAATTCAATTGTGACAGAAATATTTTGATAAGAGATTTTCAATCATGGTGAAATTCAGGGACTTGGTTTGGATGTTTTCCAGAGCCAAAACGTCTGGTATGTTGAGTATAAACAAAATACGATACGTGAAAAACGCCTTGCACCATCATATCGAGAATAGACGCAAAATGTAGATCTAAGTTAAGACAACTGCTCAATCTTCTAGATATGTATATGAATTAGTTTACGATTTTATGAAATATGAAAATATCAATCTTATTGTTTTGTTTTGAGGAGAATCGAGGCAAATAAAAAAAAAAACAATATAAAAAAAATTTGGTGATTTAGTGTGTTGCCGATATTTTTTTTTCTCATTTTTCTGTTTCCTTTTTTTTATTAAACCCAACCTCCTCCCCCCTTCTCAAAAATTTTATTTTTTCTTTTTTTTTTTTGATTACTTTATTTATCCCATTAACAACAACAACAACAACAGAAACACACTGTACACCGTCGTTACTATTGGCTTCATTAAAACTTATTCTGCTTACCGATTTCCATTGACGTCCTAAGTTGATGCCATCTACCACTCTGTTCAGGTAATCTAATACACGACTAACCGTGTCAATCATATCATCACACTGCGTTAGGTACCATCAACAATAGCAATCACAATGACAAACGTCAAAAAGCAGCAACGGCCATATATTTCGCCTCAATCAGACGATACTGTTGTTTCTATTGCTCATACAAAGCGCACTCTGACTACACCGACGAAAAGATCTTTTGCCAACTCATGCCATGATAATACTGGTATCAACACACCCAGCAGCTCGCCGCCTTCTCGCACACTACACTACAGTGACAGCGAAGAAGAGCTAGAAAATGATAAGAAGACTATTTACAGAGATTCTTTGCCACAGCCATTTTGTCCTAGCTCGCCAGTTCCTCACAACATTCTTAGAGAAATCACTGTACCTCAATTACCTCACACCCCTACCACAGATAGCACGCTATTCCATCATCCCTCTTCTCTCTCTACACATAAAACTCACGTTGATCCCGTCATGCTGTTTCACAACAAAACAATGGGCGGTTTTAACACTTGGTCAATTCCTCTTGCATCTCTTTCGTCGTCTCCGCCACCTCAACACAGGCCGTCGCCGTCGACGCCAAAAACCTTTTCTAACATCATATACTCGTCGCCCTTATATCAGGGGTTTAGGTCATCGCCAGTGCACGGAAACTCGCCATCGAGCATACCCCAATTGTTACCATACACTTTTAAACCGCAAAAAAAGTCGTCACCAATTCAGCAACAGGCCAAAACATTATCAAAAGCCCTTGACTTTGAAAATCTTCTGAAGCGAAAACAGGCTGACAGTCAGTGCAGAAAAAGATGTAAAAAGAAAAAAAAGACAATGAAGGTATTTGAAAAAGCGCCAGATGGATCTAAATCATTAATCTGTTCAAGACGACCAGACTTTCTAGCATCAAGAAGACTGAAATGCCAGAGATTGAAGCCAATGACCTCTATATGCGAGAAAAAGGAGTTGCTTGTTCGTATTGATGTCAATTCTAATGGCCAGGCTTCTATTGTAAAAGCAATAGTTCCAGTTGAAAACAATAATAGTGTCGACCGATTTCCAATTCGTGAGTACCAATCCAGTGATGACGATGAAGAAAATCAATTGGAATGTTGCCTCTCAGAAGAAGAGACTGAAAATGATATAACGGCTTTTTCACTAATTGTTCCAAATTCGAAGCAAGTATCAGCATCTCTTTTATCTATTTCGTCAGTATCTCCTTGTATGAATCGTTCTGTTCGCACAATAGGGTCACCACTTTCGTCCCCTTACCAGATGCCCAAAAAATTCCCGTTTCGCCATATTAAGAAACCTGTGCGCACAACAAATAATTTTGATCTTGTTTTTCCAAAGCTCAATAGTCCATTTACTGCTAAAAAGCAGCAACTTAAATCACGGAAAAAAGTGTCGTTTGAGGCATTATATAAAGAAGACTCTGTATCAGAGTCAGAACCGGATGAGGAGAGCGACGATTCTTGTAAGTTTGATGCCCGTGATGCACTTCAAAAACTTATGTTAAATCTCAACAGCCCTATCAAATCTTTTTCTACCAATGTTGTTGTCCCGAAGCCTGATTTTCAACTGTCATCTGCCATTATGTCTCCCTCTTTTACACCTTATAAAAATTGTCATACAGGCAGTAGCAGTAATAGCAATTCCATTGGAAGTGCCCATCAAATGTTTTTTAGCTCACCAGGGTTTGATGATTTTATTTTTCGAAACTTTGTGTCGCTCAGTCCGACTACTAAGTGATGCGATGTCTTACTATTTATTAATTGTTATTATTATTGATATGATTTATTCTGTTTTTTTTTCTCACTCTTCATGTTTTTGTTACTATTTATTTATTTACTTCGATTATTAATATACAAAATGCTAAAAAAAATTATCTAACTATTTCATAAATATGTTTACAACGAATCTATTATCATTATTGATAAAGACTGCTAAAGTGCGCTGAAAATACTATAGAGATTTCTTTGGGATTTTATAGTTTTGGTTTACAAATAAAGTCAAAGGACAGGTCTTAAAAGTAGGATAAACTTACACAAATTTCTATGTCAAGTTGTCAGCTAAAGTATTAACAAAATAAAACATACTATGATTACATGCTAACAAACAGAAATTCGATTAGAAAACAAAAAAAATATAAAAAAAAAATAACACGGAAAAGTTTTATTTGTATTTCGTTAATATTTTACAAAGTATTTGAAAAGTCATATAATTTATTCAACCTTAGGTAACCTTCTGTCCTGACGCAAATGATTAACTGAAATTGTCATATTTTTAAGAATTGGTAAACAGCGCCTTGATGGCATGTCTCATAAATAGAAAATTTGTTTATTGTTCTTACATCACAAAGTCACATAATTAAAATAATAATAACAAAGATATACAAAAAAAATATTGTTATATTTAAATATAGCTGATCGAACGGGAAGCCTCGAACCAACTTATCATGACCGTTATTTGCTGCAATCATGTTTTTTTTTATATATAACTTATAATCCAGTGTGGAGACCTTTTATTGATAAAGTAGTAACAGTAATATGTAGGTGATTTAAATCAGACCTTGTAAATAAATAAAAAAAAAAAGTTCAACTGAAGGAAGATAATGACAAAAACTCATGCTAATATTAATAATAAAAATCAATCTAGCAGTCAATGAGACTCATCATGCCTTGGGTTGTCTTTATGGTAATAGAATAATATAAAAAAATTGGCTATTAAAAATAATCCACATTGTCTTTTTTTTAAAAATAGGTTTTTAGTGAATTTATCATTTATTAATTTTCGCTTTCGAGAAAAAAAAAACATATGAAATATTATTACATGTATATAATATTTGTGTAAAAAAAGGGCCCAACCGGGAATTGAACCCGGGACCTCTCGCAATCGTGCTTAGTAAACCCTAAGCGAGAATTATACCACTAAACCATCGGGCCTACTCATTAATTCCAAACTTTACCAGATTATCAGGAACACACTGAGTTAAACAAATTATTTTTTTTATATCTAATTTTTGTTTTATTTTTGCTCTATTTTAACGTCTTGGGACAACATTAAAAGAATCCAATCCTTCAAAAAAGCAAAAGCATATTTTGTTAGATTTATAAAATAGAATTTAGGCTGTCAAGCCTCATTCGGTTTATTAAAAAAGTGTCTTTCCTTGATCAACCCAACTCTTTGGATGCCAAGATGAGGGCGGTTTCGCGATTGACCATGGTCAAAAAAAAAATGATATTTCAACAAAAAATGGCTGTATCATGGTATTGGATACCTAATTTCCCAAATAAGGCAATAACAAATAATCATGAAATCCGTTTATGATAATTCTTAGGGCGTCTGTTGTAGTTGGTTATCACACTCGTTATCCGTTTATGATATGAGTGGCAGAAAAACTATGAAAAGGTAGGTGAACGTCGGCAATACTATTGTTGTACTCAACGAGAGTTGGATAACAGTAAGTATCCCAACCCACTAAAATCATTCATGAGGACTGTGCCTCGCCATACCTTTGGCAAGTTATTCCAACTGCGAACAGGTCATGGTGCTCTTGGGAAGTATTTCCAAATGAAATGTATTACAGAGAGAAATTATAACTGCGAATGTGGACAGCTGGAAAACAGTTGAACACGTTCTTAAGGAGTGCCCTCTGCATCCTGTGGAACGTAGCTTCTTGAGTAAAGTTTTCCCCGGAACTTGATCTAAGAGTCCTACTTGATACCAAGAAGGGTTTTGAAGCGGTAGTCAAGTTCTTAAACTCATTACCGTAACTTCTTTGCTGATGGTTTGCTTGATTAGAGCAGCTTGTTAAGGTGTGTTTCAATCTCTGCTATCAATCTACCAGGTGTTATGTATCTCAGATTTTCATTAGCTCATGTGTTATTTCATGGAGAATTCAGTGCCATCGAATGCCAAAACCACCTGAAGTGTGGTTGAGAAAGTTAATTTTAAAGTCTCATAGAAACAGATAATTTTGAAGTCAATGTGTTTTTTGTATATCTTTTTATTATTATATAATGTTTTAATTATGGAACTATGTGATGTAAGGGCAATAACCTGATTTTCTATCTCTATGTGATGTAAAAAAATAAACAGATCTTCTATCTGTATCTATCTAAGTCAGTTGCAAAATTTTTAGTCAAAATCAGGAGTAAAAGTAACCGCTTTAGTGTATCATTGCTGAGAACACTAATTTTAAAGTCTCATAGAGATAAATGTTTTTGAATTTCATGTCTTCTTTGTATATCTTTCTTATTGTTATTATTTTAATTAGGTACGTGATGTAAGAATAATAAACAGATTTTATAGTATAGTGTATCATTTGATGTGTGGCGGTGAGTCACCTAGTATCATACAGTATTTGAGTTTGATACCAATTGCTCTATTTTATAGCAAACGTGGTATTACTGATATGTGGAAGTTTATTTTTAGGTTTTCTTCTTCAGAAAATAAAGTATGCTGCCAAGTTTCTCTACAGCCACATTAAAAACCTGCTAAACGTCAGATTCTTTCAAGTCAGAACGGACTAGTATGAACTCTGACTAGTCACCACCACAAAAGTTCTTGGTTGAGAAATCTTGAGCGAATGCAACCTTGTGACTTTGAGATTCTGATAAATCTCAAATCAATACGATACCACGAGGGTTTGAAACACGATTTGAAAACTACATCAAAAAACTTAGTCATAGCAGGGTAGAATGTTGTAACAGTATGTTGAATAAGACGTTGTTGTTTTTTTTAAGGATTTGAATCAAGCAAATAACTTGATCTCTTGGTCTATCACGCAAGTAAAAAAAAAATTTTTGACACGAAACAAATTGACTTTATCGACAGATTTCACTAAAATCTGGAGAAACATAGGTCGGGTACCGATACCTGTGAACGTAAAATGAAAAAAATACTAGTTTATTAGTTGTTGTTGTAGTATTTGCTTCTGTTAAAGTAATCTTTTAACATGTATTGACTGGTACGTACTTGCATTGCAAGTATCGTCAGACAAGTTGTGACTCGACATGATACTTTTTTTTTTATTTTATTGCCCTGTACCCCGGTACTGTACTCTACTTAGCCTTCATTTTGCACAATCATCAGCCTCGCAACTTTGAACAAAACATACAATTTTAAACATATTCAAGCAAAACCAAGCTTTATAGTTAAAAAGTTAAGCAGTATATTGGCTATTTCGATATTTGTTAGAGATTCTTATAAACATTATAAAAGAAAAGCGTTGGTCCCTTGTTTTTATTTCATTATATTTGATCATCATCAACTAAACTATCCTCTCTGGTTTTCAAAATTATCAAGTTAACATTTCTCTTTCAATTGTTCACACTCACTACAGCATTCAAAAGTCTATCATAATGCCTTCTCATTCTTCTTCTGCTTCCGTCTACAGCGACTCTACTGTTGTCACAAACTCCCCTCAGTCTAAAGAAGGACTTGAAGTCAGACAAAAAAAATGCTTTGGCAAGATTCTCAAAAGTATTTTTACCATTCCTCCTGGCGTTGAACAAACCACTGAAGGTAGAATGCATCGACAAAATCCTATGAAATCGACTGGTCATATGTAGTGGCATAAATACTGCCATGTTAAATTGATCAGAATATCAAAATATTTTGATTAAAACTTTGCAGTGACAAAGGTTTTTTCTTTTCATAACTCTTCTTGCATTTCCTCGTTCTGGATCATACTTATTTACAGTGTTACGTTTTTCTTATATCGCGACTTTTTTTTATTTATTTCTCTATTTCACCCATAAATAGTTGTTGTTTTTTTATCATGTAATTCTAATATCTTGAAAATATGTTTAAATTTTTTACTATATTTGAACAAAAACATTGTAAACCGAAAAAAAAATTGGGACCTTGAATTAATTTCGTCATAATTTGATTCTTTTTTTTTTTTATTGAAATAAAATTATTTTGTATAAAATTTGTTTTATTTCATTTTTATTGATATGAATAGATGGAAAAGTTGTGCTCGGCATACGGTATACTAATTATACTTTTTCGATATATTCTGAATACTTTGATGACTACCAACAGTAACAAAAATATGAATACGTACAATGGCATCAATACGTTTTGTCAACTTTTGTTTCCCCATAAATCACCGTCTAGCTAGGTATGATAGTGATAATTATTAACAGCGATTAATGTCAAAATCGATAATTCAGAGCATTTTGAAAAGTTTCATAATATGACATTATAGGAAATTTTTTTTTTTTATGTTCAAGTCAAAATACTTTAAATATGGTGAGTATGTCTTCAAATTTAATTTTATGATTGTTAAATTGTGATTGTATGTAGAAAAACAAAAGCCTCGTACAAGATACATGTCTGATACTTGAAATTCTCGCTGACAAATCCAACTTTTCAACATAAAATTGCAATTTAGATATCAAGGCTTGTTTTCGGGCAATTTTTTTTTGAGATAAGAATGAATATTTGAGTACAATCTTTTTTTTTTTTTTCATGAAACTGTAAATTTCTTTTAAATTGAATTGATTGATGATATTTGAGTCTAAATTGTTTAAAATCAGTTGTAATAATTTGCCTGGATTGACACCTCGTTACTACCCCCTCCAAAAAAAACAGACATTTTGATGAAAACTAAAATACTTGCGTATGTATTTTCCAATTATAATGGTAGCTGTACATACATCTATTACTGCAGCAACTACAAATACGAGCTGACAATTTTTTAATGAAAAAACTTTTTGAACTCTCACTTTTATAATTAGTAATGTATGTAACTAGATTAACCCAATATATACATGTTCAATCGTGGTGTTTGTAGGTAAAACAGTGAAGAAAGGGGGGGGGGGAGGGTTGAGACTTCTTGCGCAGTTCAATGCCAAAAACAAATCGCTATACTGTCATCAGATACAATTTCAATATTTTCAATTAAATTATCGCAGAAGACAAAAAAAAAAAAAAACAACAACTTTAGATGTCTGTAATAAATGGTGGTGACAAAGACAGAAGAGTGTGTTGGTATTAAAAACACTTTGATAATTGTATGCATCAATTACCGAAGATGATGCAATAATAATAATGACAAAAAAGCAAAAACCCAATTCTTATTGCCGTACTAGCCTTTTGATTTTTCAAACTGGTTTTATTTATTCTCTCGCATTCTTTCGAGGAATATAAAAAGGCAATGATTTCTCCTTCTATTCAAGTTGTAGTTTATAATTTTTTCCCATCATCAACCATTCTCACTTTTCTTAAATCTACCTAGCTTTAATTCTAAATGACTGATATCAGACTTCCTCTCAACAACGGCACTACCATCCCTGCTCTGGGTCTTGGTACCTGGCAATCTCCTAAGGGCGAAGTTGCCGCTGCTGTCGAATATGCACTCACCCAGACTGGTATCCGCCACATTGATGCCGCCTACGTCTACCAAAATGAAGAAGAGGTCGGTGAGGGTATTAAGAAGGCCATTGAGTCCGGCAAGGTGTCTCGTGAAGAGATTTTTGTCACAACTAAGGTTTTCCCTAGTTACCACAACAGAGTCGCTGAATCTCTGGACAAGTCTCTCAAGAATTTAGGCTTGGACTACGTTGATTTGCTGTTGGTTCACTGGCCTCTTGGATTTAACCCTAACGGTAACCATGAACTTCTCCCTAGATTGGAAGACGGCATTACTATTGATTTTGATCCTTCTTTTGACGTGGTAAAAACCTGGAAGCAGTTTGAAGCAGTTTACAAAACTGGTAAAACTAAGGCAATTGGTGTCTCTAACTTTTCCATTGGTGTCTTAGAAGATCTTCTGCCCCACGTTGAAGTTGTTCCTGCCGTCGATCAGATTGAATCTCATCCTTTTTTGGCTCAGCCCGACCTTGTCGCTTTTGCCAAGTCAAAAGGAATTCTAATTGAAGCTTACTCTCCTCTGGGTTCTACTGGTGGCCCTCTTCTCAAGTACCCTGAGATT